AGTTAATTTATTTATTTTCTATAACGAAAATTATCTCTCAGTAGCATTAAATGTTTAAAATATCTCATTAATTCGCGAATCATTTAAAATGTTATTATTAAAAAGCTTATTATAAAGGTAGTCGAAGATTTTTTGCTAATCGAGGTAAGAATTCATAGATAAATAGAAAACGATAAATAAATTTTTTCGTAATTTTCGAAGAAGTTGTAACATTTTGTGCCGTTTTCCCCAAAATTAAACTCCTAACCCTAATTGCTGGCAAGCAAAAAGCATAGTTTGGTTTGTTAAAGTTTGTCTCATTTAAATATTACTACATTTATGTGATTTAGTTAAGGTGGATGTTAAAATTATAAACTTAAAAAAACTTTTATTATAAATTTAAATTGATTACATAAAATTCTTTTTTATAATACATTTAATTGAAAAAAAAAATATTGTTCGTAGCTTAAAAGAAGGATGAAAAATCTGGTCACTAAATAATTTTAAGAGTTTTCTGAATAATTCTTTTTAAAAATATTTACTTGCAAAACAAGATTGCTTTATTAATACAATATAGAAATAAAATTTGCATTCCAAGTTTAATATTCTACAAAATATTTATTTTAAGTCTGATGTTTTAATTTTTTTGATGCCTAATCATTAATATTATCGTTGAAAAACAATAAAACTTTTGTAATAACATTTCTAAATAACTAAATTATTCCATCAAATGTTTGCTATATATATTTTGTCCGTTTAGCAAATTTTTCTTTTATCAAAACATATTAATATGAAATTAATGCTTTCAAAATCAAAAAGAAATTGATGCAATTGGTTTCCCGTGGATATTTATTAAGTATATTAGTAAAACAGTGATATGATATTATAATAGTTACATAAAAGCCAAAATATGTATTGTTTTTATTTCTTATAATAATATCATTATTTTGTGTTTTATTCCCTTTTTTGTAATAATACGCTTTCTCTATTCATGGAAGACTTTGCTAATAAAGAAATATCTTTTACATAATCATTCTTCCGTTTTGAAGTCTTATTTTAGTAAGAAAATACTATTCCTTATTTTAAGAATAATTAAAAAGAATAATTCTATTAAAATAATACAAAATTTCAAAAGTTTTAATAAGGAGTAGGGTTTTATTATCTCTATATTAGTTTAATATTTTATTTTTACACTACTGATCCAAATCATATTGTTCTTTCTGGATTTAAAGCTTACTCAGGGGCAGAAAACTGGATCTTGATTGATTACTTAAATCAAATCATTCACCTAAAGAAAAATAATCTTTATTTTATGAATCATGAAAAAAATTGGTCTACTACACCAATGACATTCAACTGAGACAAAACAAACTGTAAAAAAAGAACTATCCGAATTTTTTTTTTTCATTACTGCGAAAGGAGAAAGAATGTTTCTTCATTCATATTAATAAAAAAAAAATGGTGATCGAAAGCCATTACAGCCAAATAACCCTAAATTCAATAGCTAAATTATGATGTCTTTCCTAATGAGAATTGCCATGTAATTTTTGTATTCCTTTAATGATTATGTTGCCCATTAAAAGACACGCATCAACCATATTAAGCAGACATCTCTTGGACTTTATATTCTATATGATGCATGGGCAATTTGTAACCACTTTGTTGTTCTTTTTGTGCAAAACATAAACTCTTGCCCATAAAACGTGTCCAACTTTTATTCAATGTGTAATTGGAATAAAATGAAGAATAAAAATTCTGAGCGTCGCCATTTTCTTTCCGCCTTCAGGGTATGGGAGAACGTTTGAATAAATTATTAAAAAATATAAATCTGAATACAAAAACACTCCTGCCAATATCAAGATGATAATCTCACGAATTGGATTTTTGGGTTCTTTCCACTTGTCAACGAATCGTGATAGTTAGTGGAAATGGATAAATAGCTGAAATGAAAATTGAATCCAAGTGTATAAATATAGTTATTAATGGATTTAAATTACATATCTATATTTCGAAGTGTTCTAGGATTTGATGGATCTTATCATGATCCTTAATAACAAGGTGGTATTTTATGCTTCGCCGTTGCTCCTTTTTTTGTGGTTTATTGCACCTATTACATAATAAGAAGTGTGAAAAGTGGTAATCTTTTAGCTTTAGAATGTCTAATTTTCGTTCGATTGAGTGTAATAAACTTAGATTTTTATTTGTAACTGCAACTCGTTATGCAATTTGCCGTAGATGGTTGATCAATGGTTTGAAATGTTAATTCGTAGATAAGTCAATGCTTTGAAAAGATACATGAATGTATCAAATGAAAAATATTCTATTTATGATTCAAGCTACTTTAAATAACTAATACATTGAACTGATTTAATACATTGACCCAGAGGACAATTTTTCTGATTTTTTTTATAAATGATGTAACGTTTGGAGGGGTGGGAAGAGTTTTTTAAAATTGTGACATTTTATAACAAAGGAGAGAGAGGGAGCATTTTGGGTCAAAACTAAAACGTTTAAAATCAAAAGATTAAATATTTTTATACAAAAAGTTTTTGCCGTTTTTCACCAAAGTAAGTTCACTTCTAACCCTTATTGTTGTTGGACTCACAAATGCTATTTAATATCTAGTTAATTGGTTATAATTAAAACATTTAAAATCAAAAGATTTTTTACTTTGTTCTGTAACCGGAGTTGAAAAACTGATCCAATTCTGACTATCAATATTTAATTTTGCAACCTTGTAATTTTGAACATAACACAGAATACAAGGGATCAAGCATTGGACACTGGAAACTTCATGTGTTGATGAGAATGGAGGGAAAATTATGTGGTGTCGACCCCTCATTCAGTCGGTTATGAGATAGATCAGCCCACTCGGCTACAGTATGTACCCAGAAAGAAACTAAGTGGCTTCATTAGGTGGATCTAGGTTCTGGTTGTTTAACCGCAATAGGTGAAAGCATTTATTAAACGGTTTTTCTAACAGTTTCCTAACTGTGCATACAAATTTTTTAATAAATTTTGCTAATAGGAACAGCAACGCTTTGTTCAAATTGATAAACAAGTTAAATTGCTTCCTGCGAAAATGCATCTTCTGCAATAAATAAACAAATATTCAAGATACTTAAATTAGCCATTTAACCTGGTACCTTTATAAACAGCAGACTGAAATAATAATTTTAAAGGCTGGTAAGTTCGATTGTTTCGAAAATATGGGCACAGTGAATTAATAAAATAGAGTTCTATATTTTCAATGTTGGTTACTGTGTCATATCGGTCAATATAATTTAATGTTTATTGATAAAAACTTGGTGAATATTTTATAAAAATAAAGAAACAAAAGGCATGAAAAACAAATTGAAATCAAAATAAAGACTAATCTTGTAGTCACTCAAAAGGAATGTTTCTTCATAGTTTTTCTTTATACTTAATTTGAAAAATAATTACGCTGTCAATCACTAACTCAAATGTTTGACAAAATCGAAAATGAACATTTCTCCTTTTGACAGATTTGTCTCCTATTGAGAGTTTGTATTATTATTTCTTCAAATAACTCTTCACTCTCAATTCATTTTAGCCCCTTTCTGTTACTGTTATTCAACGTTAAAAAATGACCATGTCAAATCTCAAATTAGAGCAATAGGATTATATGCTTTTATTTTGATTTTGGTAACAAAAAGAAGAATTTTTAAAGCATTCTATTTTGATCCAAGAATGGAATTAAGAATGTTCTTTTTTAGGTAAATGTAATAATAAAAATAGAGTTTTAATGAAATTAAAGGGAAAACGTGTTTTCGAGAAATAAGTTGTGTTTCTTTTGTGTTTAATTAATTACTTTATTTGTGTGTCAGTCGTATAACATTGTAGCAAATTTATTTCAAAACAACTTTATAGACACATCATTTGCAGTGTAACAAATGTATTCAAATGATTTTTACGTGCACTGAGGAAAAAAGCATGGTAAAAGCGAGTATAGTAAAATTTGTTGTGTTTCTGGCTCTACGGGTACACCAAAATGCACGGTAATTTTTTTTAAACCGAAGCCTTTTGGTTATGAGTTTGGTAAAATTAGCAATACAATTACTGTTTTATAATCTGTGTAAAAATTTAGTAAATATGAAAAAATTTGGGAATTTTATCATGACCTTAAAGCATGTCATAAAAACCATTTATTCGATAAAATTTACTTTTGAATTTTGTATTTGTATCTAAATATGTCGTAATAAGAACTATAATTTTGAAAACCAGAATTTCCGGTACACCGTTACTATATGAATGGAAAAATTACGAAATGAATGATTTAAATATCGTATATTTTGGTTTTATTACTAGAATTATAGTTTCTTTTGCCAAAAATGTCAGTACCATGCAGTATGATAATTTTACCAAAATTTTTCTCCGAATTTAACTGATTTAACTCAGGAGGAATGATTGAAAAGTAGTTAAATGACTAAAAGAAATCTCTTTTTTTTCGAACTAAACAAAAAATAACTAAGGTTTTATTAAAACTGCAAATAACGTTTTTAGGGTTTAAAAATTTATTATAAGATAAATTATTGAATGTTTGTTTTATCCAAACTTTTATCATATTTCTGTTATTAAACTAAAAAAATACTTATAATTAAAAATCTAATTAAGATATGTTAAAAGTTTGATAGATAGCCATTTTAGTTCGGGGCTTTAACTGTAAAATATAATAAAAAATTACAAATTAAATTTTTTTTTAAAAAAATCTGTTAACTGTTTAATAAAATAGCCATTCCTGTCCGCTGCTTCCAAAATCAAATTGAACGACTCTATTCAATATAAAAAATCTTTCAATGTTCTTTTTCTGTATAGATTAACATAAATATGTAAAATTCAGAATATATTGCGATTTTGTTCGAAAATATATCATCATTATTAGTATTTAAATTAATAATTATTGTTTTTTTTCAATATATGTTACAGATGGATGGAACTATTTTAGAACTTTGCTATGAATAAACGGAATTAATATTTCGAGAAATAAAAATTTTACTTACGTGGATAACAATGACCATCGGCTGATATCATGGCTCCCAGAGGACAGTGACACTTACCGTAGACTTTAGGTATAATATATTTGCAAAAGCTAAGTTTATCCGCCATTTGACATTGGCGATCATTTAGACAATAATCATGGACTTTTGCAGCTGCAAAGAATACAAAAGTGACATAAGCAAATATCAGAAGCAGGCATGAATTGAAAAGTATAAAGGCAATAACATATGTTTGTAACATAACATAACATAACATAACATAACATAACATAACATAACATAACATAACATAACATAATATAAAATGTTATTAACTTTATTCACTAATAGCAATTATAGTTTAACGTCAATTAACTTGGAAGATCGTTACCAGTAAATATGCAAACATGCGAATATGCTCACTTTTTTCTGACTATTTTTTAACGAATAAGTTTTATAAAACCATATGTTTTTTTTCGTATGATAGCGTTCTGAAAAACATTTAATATTGGGATGTATGTTTAATCGTTGGACTTTACACAATTGTTTTGTTAACAGTCGAATTCCCCCCCCCCCGAAAAAAACTTTTTCTACTATAGTATAAAGTTTAATTAATAACATGAAAGTGCTTGGATATTTATAATTTTAGAAAATAACTTTATGTGTTATATGTTTTAAAATTAGTTTTAACTTTACACATTTATGACTTAGTAATGGGACATGAGTGCCTCTTTGTTTATATTTACCATTATTTGTTGCTGAGAGAAAACATTGAAATGCTGTTAAATGTTTTGCTTATAGTAATCGAAGCTATTTTTATATGGCTCCTGTCTCGGAACTAGTTTCAACACTGGGCATACATTGAACACCATATTAGAATTGAATATGATTGACCGAATCTTAAAATATTTACACCAATAAAAAGATTGAAATGTTGTAAAGTATCGATTTTTAGAAATACAAAAGCTATTTTCATGTGCCTATGTATTAAAATCTAATTTAAATATGGGCATATAATTTAATATATAATTACAAACTGGTCAAGCTGATATTGCATATAAAAAGCGAAATCATAAGCTATTATTTCATAAGACTAAATTACAGTTGGTATGGATAAATGTTATGTCACACAGCCAAATAAATATTCATAAACATTAAAAACAAGTACTAGAAAAGAGCTAAGACTGATTATTTAAACTAATTAATATTTTTCCCAATTAAGATAATCTTCATACACTGTTAGAAAATTCTCGGTAAAAATGGTTAAATAGTAATTTATTTAATTTTTATTTTACCATATTCCACTAAAAAAGTTAAATAATCATAAAAAAGATAATATTCAAGCGTGTGATAAAAATGTTTATTGTTTTTTTTTGTTTGTTTTTTTGTTATACAGTTAAACAACCAGCATTCTATCCAAACCAACTTAACCAACCTTATAATGCCATTTCGTTACGAGCAGCTGGGTACGTAGAGGGCTGATCGGTCAATCTCATGACCAGCTGAACAGCGAGTTCGAATCCCAGCTATATTACAACAATATTTCTTCCATTCCTTCAATACAAGATGAGTTTCCAGTCTCCTGCACTTTTCAATTGGTGACCCTTGTCGATTAGAACGCAAAACTATAATTCACTTCTAATTGGCGCAGCTCGCAGAGTTCCAATGTTTGTTTACTTTTTATTTTCATGGTTTATAAACCATGCTAGTAGTAAATGGTTACAAAACAGTTGATTTCGTAATCGCAGTTTTTTTTAACCGGACCAGTTGTAAAGGGTTCAAAACCGTAAAGGTAAACAAATGTTCCTAAACATAAACATGCCTGGACATCAGATTACAGGCAGCTGCCGGTTATTTTACCGTGATTTCTAAATGAAAATTCTAACAGGGTAGAGACAGAAATTTACCGATAGAAAAACAATAGATTTAAATTCTTTGGAAACATCGTAATTCCAAAAACAAATTTGTAATTTTATTTAGTTTTAGATAATATTTTCAAAAGATAATTTGACAAACGATGCACAAGTCTTTCGTACAAGTGAATGTATCATGACTAAATATTGTCCTTTTACCTCAAACTAGTCCGGAGGCAATGTTTTACATTTTCAGGGGATTATAGTTACATTACTCAAGCTTAATTCTTTGCAAAAAATACTGTACATCAATAAAACACTGTGCCTTGTGTGGCCCACTTTATGAACGCACTCTCCGTTGAAAATATTTTCTCGGTTGAAAAGGATTTTGACAAGTTTACGATTCTTCTATCTTTAGTTACACGGATTTATTCTTTTTTATTTTGAGTTTCTAACTATTTAGTAACCTCCAGGCAAAAGCGGTGGACTATTTGTAAGAATTATTAAATTCTTAGTGACAACAGGTGACATTTAAAACATTTTTCATACTGATTAAACGGTATTTTTGAAATTCTTGTTCTATCATTTCTATAAGAAAATGCATACATTCAAAGTCTGCATAATTTTTTTTATTGCCATTGAAACCATTATTTTATTAACTATGATTAAATTAGTTGCTAAAAGATTGAACTTATTTTAATTGATAAAAACATAGTCCATTCAATAAAATATTTTTTTACTAATTAAACTGAATATATGATCCACACTAAATTATAAGAGTACATATTTTACAGTTATATTATATAACAACTGTATATAGGTAATTAAAAGAACATGCAATGCTATTTATATGTTCTTTCTCTAAATTAAATTAAAAAAACTAATAGCAAATAATAATTTTGATTGTTTTTATTTTTTTTAAAAAGTTTTTTTTTGTCATATTTTATTTAAACCAAAATCTTTTTATATGTTTTTCAAAAACTAGAATATTGAAAGTCTAAAAAATTTTGATCTCAACAAAAATACATTCTCCTTTTTTTACTTAAAAAGTATGCATTTCGAATTACGGTTGATAAATAGATTCAGTACTTTATAAACTATTATAATTAAAAAGAGAAGGTATGGAAGAAATATACTTTCTCTTAATGTTTCCCTCTAAACCAGGAAATATAAACAATACAAATGTTTATTTTCTCTATCTGTACCAAAGTAGTAGACCTCCGCTTTGGTGTATTTTATCAGCAATTGCTTGCTTTTTCTTTCTATGCAGAGTTTAAATTTCTAAGTCACTTAGATAAAAATTAAAGAAGAAGAATATTTTTATTTGATTCAGGGTTGAACAGACTTTTTCACCCGAAAATCAGTTTAAACTCATATTGACATTGAACTCTCCTTGGTGGGCAGAATTTAACATTTCTCTACAGCATGAATAAAAATCAAAAATACGGAATATTATTACTTGTATATTTTAAATCATTCGGAGTTGAATAGCCTCGTTCCCCCAAAACTCAATTTAAACTCATCTCTACTTAAAGCACTCCTTTGTAAGCAAATTTTCAAACTTCAAGATAACATAAGCAAAAATTAAAGAGGGAAAATATAACTATTAATTTCAGTTCATCAGTTAAATAACCTCATTCCCTCAAAAATGATTCTATTTTGAACTCTTCTGTAAACGTGGAATTTAAAACTGCCAGTAATAAAAATTGAAGAAGGAAAATGTAATTGTTTGTTTACGTTAATTGAAAAGGTTCTCCAAACATTAACTTAAACTCATCTTACTTTGAACCCTCTTTCGAGAGTAGAATTTAAAAGATAACATAAATAATAATAAACAGAAAAACTTTTTTTTGTTTAAAAATATTGTTAGACATTGCTTTGGATTGTATTAATCTCAATAAGTTACATAAAAGTAACTGCCGCGACGAATTTCTACATAGCATGCAATTTTTATTTGAATACACTTAATTCCTTGATTAAAAACTCCCATCGCTTTAAAAATATGCCACTTCTGTCTACCGCGCTCACTACCTCTCCATAGTGCGTGGAAATGCATTTTACTCTCTTTTGCCCCTCTCGGCCTTGTACTATTTTTTATTTATTCATTTTTTTTAATCTTCATTTCTCTTTCGCCCACTGCGATTTTTCTAGTTTTGTTTCTCACCTTTATTTTTCCATTTTTCGTTGACAACTTTACGTTTTATATTTCAAATAACTTTTGTTTCTTCTCATTCACATCGCGCAAATCTTGAAAGAAGGCGCCTATTTTTAATCGCTTGAAACATGTCGGACAGTAATTTCCAATTTGTATATTTTTGAAGCGAATGGAAGTTTTTAATCGAGTAGCATCTTACCGCTTTACTTTCTCGAGATTGTTTAATTAATACACGTAATTCCATTATACTTACGAGGTAGACATTTATCTTTCCGCAGCGGCATGAAATTTTCTTTGCACTGGCACAGCTTGTGATTGCTACACTCACTATTTTTCACTTTAATTTGACATTGCTGGTCTACAGCACAACTGTAACCTAGGAGTGACGCTGAAATAAAGAAAGACTGAATTAAGAAAACTGACATAAGAAAGACTGACATAAGAAAAACTGTTATTCCATTCTTAAAAAAAATGACTGAAACATTTGAGTATCACTATATAGTTTGTATTAGCAACGAGATTCAGTTGAAGTACTGTCTCCCCAACCAAAGAACTCCTCCTGCCAGAGATGTGCTTTGCTTTGGAAACAAAACAAATCGCAATTCGAAGAGGGGATCTCATGATACTTCTAACTCTATTTAAATCCCATCTTAAATGTTTACCCCGTCAAACATAAAATATATTTAAAATTCGTCTTTTGTATGCTTGCTTGATCACTTGTATGGTTTAGACTAAATAAAAATGGGGTGCGCTTAAACAACTTTCCGTGGTTGAAAAAACTTTTAAAGTTCAGACGGATTCTCTTCAGTAAGTTAGTATATAGAGTTACAAATTACAGTTTTGCATTGAATTAAAGGCTTTCAAACTGTTGCTTTTTTATTTCCCTGGTAAAAGGAATTAAAATAATGCTCTTACTTAAAATAATTTAATTAATACATTTATTATTGTTATTTTCGTTAGCTAAGAAAAATAACAATAATATAGTATACTTCTGAAGTAACTTCTGAGTCAAAATTTAAAACAACTAAATATCGATAGCAAAAAAAAAAGAGAAAAAAAAGAAACATGCATAGAAATTAGCCTTAAAAAGATAAAGATAATAAAAGATAAATTATTAAGGATAAACATAACGTGGTAACAAGTAAAAATGCACCAATGTTAACAGTTATTATTATTATTATTTCATCAAAATCATTTCCTTAAAACAAAAGTTGAAAATTGATAAAAATTCAATACTTTTTGCATTGACACTAGCGTGGATTAAATGAAAAACGGAAGAAAGCGACTACAATAACAATTACAGCATTACGTCGATTTATTTTGGGCCGTTATGTCGAAATTCAATATAATTAAATATTTATATGAATGGAATTCGACATTTGTTTTAAAATATAGTAATCATACAATAATTTAACGTAACTCCAACTTATTTCCTGTATATTTATTCATTTTCTAAATAAATATTTAGATCAATTAAATTCGAGCTCCACCGCCCAAATGGAACTGGTCATTTTTTCCAGTACTCTTTAATCCATTGTTGTTATTTTTTCTTTACTGGATGGAGTAAACTATGATTAAGTTGTGGGTGGATTGTAGATTATCGTTTTTTTTTAATGATAAACTGTTGTTGACAGCAACAACACATTAACAAATTTTAAACTACTTTGAAAAATGAATAATGTCTTCTACGTTTGCACTAGTTTTACGACTTGCAATTTATTGATTGTTATGACACTGAGGGGATTTAATTATCGACTGTGTCAACTTTCATCTATCAAAAGTAACCTCATGATAGAATTAAGTTAACATATGTTATATACTAGTGATTTGGAATTTAATATTTGTAGTGGTAGTTACGCATGTTAACTTAATTCTATCATGAGGTACCTTTTGATCTTGAGGTATTTAAATCTCTTCATTGGTGACCCGGGCGTGATCTGAACACGCTAATTTCTGACTCTATATCAGATGATTGCGCGTTCAGATCACGTAAGGGTCACCAATGAGGAGATTTAATTATCGACTAATTATAAATGGAGTGTTCAAATTGAAAATAAATTATTATTTTAAATAATAATATCTNAATGCTCTATTAGATTAAGGTCAGGTGAATTTGGGGGCCAAGACATGACTTGAAAGTCACTGGAATGTTCCTTGAACCAATCCATGACGATTCGACCCTTATGACATGGTGCATTATCCTGTTGGTAAGCACCATCCCCCGCAGGAAAAAACTGTTGCCATGAATGGGTGAACCTGGTCTGCAACTATGTTCAAGTAACTTTCAGACGCCAGGGATTGTTCCATGAGGATTATGGGCCCTAATGTGCCTCATGAAAACATTGTTCCTGGGCGAGAAACCATGAAAACCTGGGCGAGCCCATTGTTATAGATGGAGGGTGGTCATAATGTAATGGCTCTTCGGTGTATTAAAAACTAGGACTTCTTTTATAATCAATTTATATGTTTAAATTACTGTTTATTAGAAAACATGGTGTTTCAAAATGTGAAACATTTTCTTGAGATGTGTTATTAAGGAAATGCTTAAAAGAAAAAAGAAAGAAAAAAAAACAAGCATAGTTTTAATTTGTGAAATACATTTATTCTTATTTTTGTAATAAAACTTTTCTTAACATCGGTTGCTACATACTTTTAACTACAAATTAGTTGAAGCTGAAAGTGTTTTAAAATATAAGGCGCTTTTTTAAAAAAGAAATTATAAATAAGAGTAGAATCAAGTTAAGATTAAGCATAATTTTAAACTATAAAGCAAGATCCCTACCCAGAGAAAAAAAAAGCACTGTTAAAACTTCCAGAATATGATAAAGTTTACCATGTTTTTGACTCTCTGTAGTTTTTGTTTTTGACTCTGTAGGAACATCAGAATCTTAGTGAAGCTCTTTGGTAATGATTTTGGTAAGATAATGATGAAATATAGTTTTAAAATATGTGTTAAAGTTTGGTAAAATTTATTAATTTTAATCATAATACCTAAGAGCATGGCATAAAAACCATTTATTCGGTCAAACTTACATTCCAGTTTTGTATTTTTTACTAAATGTTTGGTAATAAGAGCTATAATTTTGAAAATCAGAATTTCCGGTTAACCGTTACCATGCGAACGAAAAAATTACTAAATGAATATTTAAAATATCGTAAATTTTGGTTTAATTAACCAATTTTTATTATTTTCTTATAATTAAATATGTCTTTACCACCAAGAGTACTGTATTTTTACCAAAAATTTTATCTCCGTGTAATACTTTGGTGATAAAAACTTGAACTTTTTTTGTTTTGTTTTTTTTAAATAATTTTTTTATTTATTTTTATAATTGTGTGCTAAACCTTTGATTACATATAGTCAGAAAATAAATTGTACAAAATGTGTTTTTTTAAAAAAAATTATATAATTAATGAAGTGTGCATATTAAAATAAAGTATAACTTTATAAGTTAATGAAAATTACGTTCCCTAGTAATTTCGTTATAAAAGTCTAAACTTGTTTTAATTATCAAGTGTAAATTTTTTATTAATGTTCATTAAAAAACAAAGCATTTTGAAAAGTCGAACTCTTTTTTTTAAACTAAATAATGAATGAATTGTTTAAATGGAAATAAACCAGTGTTCTGAATAATAACATAAGCTTTGGGTTATTTAAAAAAAAATTTGTATACCAAAAGCTATAACTTTATGATTTTTAAAATAAAAGATTGAACTTTTTTTAAAAATCTTTTTTAAATCTTTATATTTCTACTTCTGGCGTTTGGAAAACACAAGTATTTTAAAATATCAATATATTAATTATAAATGGAGTGTTCAAATTGAAAATAAATTATTATTTTAAATAATAATATCTGCTTTAGATTATATTAATTTTTCTATAATTTATTTATTCATTTATAATTTATAATTTATTTATTTATTTATTATTTATTTATTTATTTATTTATTTCTGCAATAAAAACTTGAATTTTTCCAATGAATGCTTGAAATATTTTTAATCATTAAACTTTATACCTTTGACTAATATTTTTTGAAAAAATTAAGCAACGAATGAAATATTTCGATGAAATAAAAGCGTAAATTAAAACGATATTTTTCGAATAAAATCTTATCCTTTTTTTTTATCGTCGTGCTTATTTCAAAAGGCTTACCTGGCAGACACCACGTGTTGTTGAACTCGAAGTGGTAGGGCTGACACGTGCAGGTTCTCGTATCCCAGTCGCAATGACTATGATGAAGATGATGCAGACATTCGTACGAAGACCTACAAGGATCACCTAGCTTCAGTTCACTGGGTAGTATGTCTTGCAACGCTGCAAAAGTAAAATGAATAAATGTTAGCAAAAGTAAAATGATTAATGTTTGTATGTATGTAATGGTTTGTAATGTTGTGAACAAGTAAGTTCAGAAAATTGAAACAATAATTCGATTTCGATGTTTAAATTTTTTTAAACTTTAACATCAAACCACTGCTAAATTCTGAAATGTGAATGTGTTTTTAAAATTAGTTAAAAAATTATGATAAAGCATTCATCCAAACGAAGATACGTAAAACGTAGTGTATGGACGTGTAAATAATAGCATTTTATACCGATAGATGGCGTTCATTTATGCTTATACTGATATGATGTAACTAATTTACGTCAGAGATTGTATGGGCTTTAATCAAAATGGTCTACCATTCGGTCGCACTTATGCTGTATGGAAATGAAAATAATAGCATTTTATACCGATCGATGACGTTCGTTTATGTTTATACTGAAATGATGTAACTAATTTACGTCAGAGATTGTCAAAACAGTTCGGGCTTTCTTTAGAATGTTTCTTTTGTAATTTTCTATGTTAGCAGGTCTCGTTTTTCAATACCCTTCTAGTATGAAAAACTGTGTTGATGGAGGCAAGCCAATGAAGTTTGATCATCCTCTAATTTTATTGCCTATTGGTTTAAGGATGAAAATTTTATGCATTAGACTAGGTATAAACTTAATTAGATTCGTAAGGCAAATATGCCTTACGAATCTAATTATGTTTAACTTGTTACGTTTTATATTATCAATGCCGTATTACATTTTGAAAATTTCTGCATTTGTTCTCTTTCTGTTTATATTGCTCTCTTCAAATCCACCAAAAATAATTTGCAAGATCTTTCTCTAACAAGTCAGTCTTTTTTTAATTTTCAATGTCGGTTTTAATTTTTATATACATTCTGTTTTGTACACTAATAAAACTGTCAGGCCCAATGGTAATAAATAATTGTGTGAGACAGGGGGATGCACTGGCATGCCTAATCTTCAATTTAGCATTAGAGAAAGTAATAAGAAATTCCATCATTAACACCAGGGGCAATATTTTTAATAAATTCGTACAACTGTTGACCTTTGCTGATAGACATAGACATTACTGCTAGAACAACTATAGCACTAATACAGGCTTTTATTTCTTTGGAGAAAGCTGATCTCAAGATGGGTCTGAGAATAAACGGGAACAAAATTAAATATTTGCCATGTACTAAAACAAGCTTCAATAACACCCACTTAGAAATTGAAGAATATAAATTTGAAGTTGTAGACAATTTCGTTTACTTGGGTTCTGTAATTAACAACAGGAACGATATTACAACGGAAATACGAAGGAGAATCACTGTAACCAATAGATGGTTTAATAGAGTACCGTCATCTTCGGTCACTTAGACCATCCGGACAGTTTAAGTAGCTTTGACGTTGATTTTAGCAACATTGTTTGATTGTTAATTTTCATACCATAAGTTCCTTGCTGTACAGGAGTTATGAATGACTCATTTTAATACTGTGCATGTTTTAAAGATAAATTTATAAGCCTTTACTTATATTAAATCTTTACTTATATTAAACCTTCACTTATATTAAACCTTCACTTATATTAAACCTTTGCTTATATTAAACCTTTACTTATATTAAGCCTTTACTAAACATTTACAGTTTACAACTCGCTACCGTTCCATACCCAATTTCAAAAACAAGAGTTTCAGGACCATTCAAATCTACCAAACGATATCGCAATCTTTTTTTACTTAGTCTACCCAGGAAACTTAAACAATTATATATTCTTTTTAAATATTTTTTTTAAAAGTTTTGTTACCTACATAGTACTCTGATTTTGACAACACTGTTGATTGCTACTTTTCATGCCACAAGTTCTTTATTATAGAGGAATTATGTATCACACATTCTAATAATGATTGAGTAAAAAAGATAAGTTTATAAACCTTTACGGTTATTTACAACTTTACGGTAATATTTATACTTACGGCTATTTGCAACTTTACGGTTATATTTATACTTACGGTTATTTTCAACTTTACGGTTATTTTCAACTTTACGGTTATATTTATACTTTACGGTTATTTTCAACTTTACGGTTATATTTATACTTTACGGTTATATTCATAAACCTTTACAGTAATCCTTTACGGTTAATAAGTTTATAAAAATTTACAGTTGACATGTTGAAATAAAAACGCATTTTCCTGTAAAACATGCTCAGAAGCAAGAGGATTTCAACTTAGTCTACTCTATATTTAAAATTCCGTGGTATCTGCGTAAAATTTCTACAGTATCCAAATAAGGCGAAGAGTCCTGTGATATTCTTAAGAAATTAAAATTATTTTCATTCTACTTTCAGGCAGAGGAGGGGTTCAGTTTCATTTGAACTTCTGATAAACTGTTTGATTCAATTGAACACATTTTAAAAAAATGAAAAGGTTAGAAACCTATGCACGAGAATATCAAAAAAATTTAATAGCTATTCGAAATACAATAGCTATTAGAATCTGATGGATTTCAAAACAGTTGCACTTTTTTTTAGTTTTTAATATAAATTCATATCGATTTCAAAACTAATGGAATTGCTTTTAAATTTGCGTATGAAATCAGAAAACTTTGAACAATCGGAATTTGTTTTCGACAGTGTTATGCCATTTTTCATTTAAAAAAAAACATTGTTGAAAAGGTCATTACCTTTAATCTATGAAAAATGTGGCTTATCGCGGGAATTTTTGATACGGAAACGCAGAACAAGTCAAACTGTTGTGGTAGATCTTGTATTAATCTTGTATTAAGAATTACAATGATATATATTTAAAAGTATAAAAAAGAATAGATGAGACAATTTTAGCGGAAAATATCAAACGTTTTGAAGTTTAATTGTCTTTAGTATTCTTACGTAATATAAATAAGAAAAAGTGATACCGCATTTGAGTGAGATTATTATTCCATGACAAAGCCTTAAAGCACGCATAAAATAAATGTAATAAAAATTTAAAATAATTAATGTCGGAAGGACATCAAAGTGGTTAATAAATATTTTAGTTCCTGAACGAAATTCCAATCGATTTAGAAAATTAAAAGGACTTCGGAAAGCTTTGAATAAACAAAAGCAATATAAATAAGTTAAAATGATTTCAAGTCCTGACCTAAGTTTTTAAAATAGTATTAAGGTTATTTAAGTCAAAAAATAATTGAATTTTTTTATCACAATTTGTTCTTAATGTTTGACTCTTTCATCGCGAGGTATGAAATGAATTGTCTTTCAGGAATATTCGCTGCGCACTAAGGAAGAGATAATTGTTGTTCCATAAGATTTTTCTATATTATTGCTGTTTGTCCAGCAACTTATTTATCAACATTCTAACGCTTTTCTGTCCATAATATTTTCTCCTTGGTATATTTCAACGAGATGGCATCAGCAGCACAATTTTTAAATCCTTTGTGATGCAATTTTTTTTTTATTATTACTATTTTAAGTTTAAAAACATAAATAAGACATATAGTGAGTATTGAGCCGTGGTGGCACAGGGGATAGAGCGTTCGCCCTCCAATGAGGTGAACCGGGTCCGAATCCCAGCGATGGCTGGTCAATACGAATTTTGCATCCGGCTTCCACCAACCACAGTGCTGACGTGGAATATCCTAAGTGGTAGACGGATCATCGGTTAGAGTATCCATGCCGTTAGGCTAACCGTGGGAGGTTCTCGTGGTCATCCTCTCCATGCAGCGCAAATGCGGGTCAGTTCCTTAAAAAAGTCCTCCACGAAGGTAAATTTCTCCCGATTCTTAATCCAGGAGTTCCCTTGTCTTCTGGATTGAGTTCAAAATTACAAGGCTATAGAGTTGAACATTAGTAGTCATAAACCCTACAAATTGGGTCGACTGTTCAACGACGGTCATAAAATAAAATATGCTGAGCATTGTTATTGAGTGCAATTGAATATTATTTTTTAAAAGTAGCATAAGCAAGTTTTTAAGGAATTAGTGTTTTGTTTCAATTTTGAAATGTTAACACTGCAAGGGAACTCTTAGAGCAGGGGTGTGCCATTGTCGCGATAAGAGTATTAAGAAAATATAACGTTTAGTTTTTGCTAATCAAAAGTGAGAAAAAATGTCATGTTTAAAACAACTTGGTTTGATTAATTTGGTTTCTTAAACTTCAAAATGGGATACCCGCAATCAGGAAAATATGTTTAATAATAAAACCTAATCGGGTACTTGCAACTAGTCACATGGTTGTGTTCAATCATAGCGTGTTAACGTTACATGTATTAAGATAATGTTTTAATATCCCTTTGAATCAATTTTCAAATCAGACTTGTGAGTGACTTCCCGCATGTGTGTCAAACTTCACTTGCTAGAATCCAATTGTTTAAGAGAGTTGTCGAAAGCTTGTTATGTTTATATTTGTGATGTATCTGTTGATGTTAATATTTTGCATATTTAGCCGTTTGAAGAGCCTCGGTGGTTTAGGGTTAAGAGCATTCGCTTCTCAATGAGGTGTTCTAGGTTCAAATCACAGCGGTGGCAGGTCGAATTATGCTTCCTGCTCTCACCGACCACAGTGCTGACGTAAAATACCTTCAGAGGTAGACGGTCATGGGTAAGAATATTCTTGCAGTTGGGCTAATCATGGGAGGTTTTCGAGTTTTTCCTCTCTCTGTAACATAAACGTAAATTACTTCCATAAAAAAGTCCTCCACAAAGGCTAGTTTTCCCCGATTCTTGATCCAGTAGTTCTCTTGTCTTCTGGGTTGGGTTCAAAACTACAAGGTTACGGAGTTGAAGGTAGATAGTCAGAATTGAGGCGAATAAACTCAGAATTGAGACAAATGTTTAACACCGGTTGTAAGCATGCTTAATTTAAACATTTAAATCTGAGAGAAAGAGAGAACTTCAGGAACTTGTTAGAGAAAAATAAACTTCCTATACAAATACGTAAATGTTTTAAAAAACTGGAAATGTTCCGACTTGCCCTGAGAAATCAATGTTAAAAAAATTATTATCTTGATATATCTTTAATACCATGTCTTAGATAAATATTGACTGTACGATTATAAACAATAAACATTGACTATGATAATATTACGAGTGTTATAGATATCAGAAATAATACTTTTTGGTAATGAAAATGTCCAGAAAGGTAAATTTCTCACCATATTAGACAGAATTAAATTTATGCTCATTAAATTTGCTTCAATCATTTGCTATCACAATTTGAAAAAGAGATTGAAAGAAAAAAATAAACGTCCTATACACATACTTGTCATAAAAACTGGGAAATGCTGCGATATATCGTTAAATATCGATATTTAAAAAAAATATTATCTTGATATATCTCGAATACCATGTCTGTCATAAATATTGAATGTAGGATTATAAATAATAAACACTGATTATAAAATCACGAGTGTTATCTATAACATTAATAGTTAGTTTAGTAAAGGAAATTCAAAAATAATGTAAATTAGTAAAATTGGATAATTATCACTAGATATCAAAAATATCGATATTTCTTGACAATACATCGCGATATTAAAATTCTTATTTCGGCCAGCACTAACTTTACATAGCAAGGATGTAAGTTATTTTTATTTTTTATTATCTGCTTTCAATAATTTTTATCACTTGTTCCATCTGAATAGTAAGGCGTTAGAATTTTTTTCTCCGTCCCTTCAATTAAAACTGGTTCATACAGAAGCCCATTTATAATTTGCCTTAAAACTACAACCGTACTTCCTACTTTCCAAGTTAGGGACGCGTTGATGTTCTGAATGAATTCATGATTTAGAATGGAACAATTGCCGTTAAAAATAATGAGCTCCGCCATTTTGGAGTTTTATAACGGAACTCGGTGACAAGAAATAAAGACCAACAGCCTCATAAAAATTCTATTTTGATCTAAAAAAAACATCGTTCATTTTATTGATTTATAACTAGCTACTGGAAAAAAAGGCAATTCTTTTTATTCTACTAGGAAGTTAATATTTTTATGTTAATTATTCTGCATTTTTATAACTTCTTTTCATAGATATTTCTAATTGTTTCTTTTCTTGATGGCGAATGTGATAACAAATAAAATTTGAGTGATGCTCGCAATTAAAAAGTTAAAACGCATACTCCCTACATCCTTGAATTTAATTATGTTTGTAAGAAAAGCACTGTAAATGAAATTTATTTTGAATTATTTATTTAAGAAGAAAGAAAATGTATTTTAGAAATAATAAGACTACTTTTTTAAGTTTGCCTGGTATTTTTATTCTAATTTTATAAGCTAATTTCAATTATGAAAACTGCAGGCTGTTGTTTTTTAGAGGTTTATAGTTGCTACAATAAATGTATTAAAAAGTTACTGAATGTCGAAGGAGGATAGAATGAACGAAGGCAGAGGATGAAGGAGATAGAAGAATTTCGGATTGTACTAAATAAATTACTGAATTTCGGAAGAAAAATATAATGACCTAAGATAAAGAACGAAAGAGATAAAAGAATGATCTGATTATGCATCCCTATCAAACTTTTAGAATGAACTAAATAAATTACTGATTGTCGAAGGATTCAAGATCGAGAAGGAAGTAAATAGGATCACTGCCTAATTATGAACTACTATCGAAAGATTATGTAGAATGATTATATATATTATTCAAATACTATATAGAAAGTTTGGAAGGCACTAAATAATTTACTGAATGTCGAATGAAGAAATAATGACCCAGGCTAGACAATTAAGAAGATAGTAGAATGATCCAATTGAGCATAACTATAGAAATTTTCATATTTACTTACTGAATGTCGAATAAAGATATCCAATTATTCATCACTCTAGAAATTTCGGAATGTACTAAATAAGTTATTTAACGTTAAAGAATGACTCAATCGACCCTAAATAAAGAATAAAGGAGATAAAAGGATATCCAAACTGTGCATTACTATTACCACAGGAAGTGTGGAAGGTATTGAAGATTTACTGAATGTCGAAGGAAGATAGAGAAGAAAGAAAATAGCAGGAAAGTTAAATTATGCATCACTTCAAAAATTTGGGAGTGTACTAAATATTTTATGGAATGTCGAAGGAAGATAGAATGACCCAAGATAAAGAATGAATCAGATAGTAGAATGGCTAGATTATGCACTACTATAGAAAGTAAGGAAGATACTAAAAATTTACTGAACGTCGAAGGAAGATAGAAACCCAAGGTAGAGAATGAAAAAAATAGTAGAATAGATAAATTATGCATCACTTCAAAAATTTGGGAGAGTCTTATTAAGTTACTTATTTAATGTCCAAGGAAGATTGAATGAGTCAAGATAAAGAATGAAAAAGATAGTAGAATGGCCCAATTATGCACTTCTATAGAAAGTAAGGAAGATACTAAGAACTTACTGAATGTAGAAGGAAGATAAAGATCCAAGATGGAGAATAAAGAAATTAGTACAATGGTCAAATTATGCATCACTTCAAAAATTTTGGAGAGTACTAAATAATTTATTGAATGTCGGAGGAAGATAGAATGAGTCAAGATAAAGAATGAAGAAGATAGTAGAATGGCCAAATTATGCACTACTAAAGAAGGTAAGGAAGATACTAAAAAGTTACTGAATGTCGAAGGAAGGAGGAATAATTCACAATAGAAATGATTCACACTAGTAGAATGGCCAAATTATGCACTACTATAGAAAGTAAGGAAGATACTAAAAAGTTACTGAATGTCGGAGGAAGATAGAATGACCCAAGATAAGGAATGAAGAAGATAGTGGAATGGCTCAATTACGCACTACTATAGAAGGTGAGGAAGATACTAAAAAGTTACTGAATGTCGAAGGAAGGAAGAATGATTCACAATAGAAAATGAAGGATATAGAAGAGATATAAGAATGGTCCAAATATGCACTATTATAGAAGTTAGGGAAAGTGCAGAACCGTTATTGTCAATATTTGGTGCAATCTTAAATATGCTACTAAATTGAATCATAGTATCGTGTTTAAATTTGATTGAACAATAAAATCTTCCATTTTGAAGAGAGACATGGTTCAACTTAATACTTAATTCAAAATGTTCATATTTTTCAAAGAAAATCTTATGCGTAAAAAAATGCCTTCTTTCTTGCTATGAACTTTAGCATTAAGGTTGTAAAATTCAAATTTCTTAGAAATCAATTCTTTTTCTTTATAAAGTATAGATTTCTTAGTGTACTTTCTTAGTGTTCGTATTTTCTTAGTATTTGTATTTCTTAGTGTTCGTATTTTTTTAATGTTAGCATAATTTGTTACTTTCAAAGAACAAGTGGTAATCCATGTGCATTCGCAACTCAAAAATAAAAAACAGAGCACTTAAATAACTTTTGATTTAATGACTGCATTTTCCAGAGTGATATGTACATCCACTACTTGGCTGTTCTCAACATCATTCAGAGTAACTACACTATGTATGCACAAAAAAAAAACAAATAACAAAATTTGAATAAATCAGGATAATGAAAATTTATTAGCCTGAAAATATAACGTGAAAATTACTCACATTTTTCTTGAAATTTAGTACTTCTAGCTTCAACAAACCCAGATAGGAAAATAACCTAAAATAGAAAAAGAAATATTTGAATTATTAGTGTTGCAAAACATTAAAAATATCAGCAACAGTTAAGAAATAAAAAAATGGAGTGAAATTTCAGTTGTTTTACAATTATGGCTGTGAAAATACTTTTTTCATAAATGTATGGTTATTTTAAAACGTTACAAAAAAGCATGTAATTTTTTTAAAAAAAATCAAATGTTGCGTATAAGATAGAGATACAAAATATGCAAAATTTTTTCAATTGGTAGAATTTTATTCTTCATCGTGAATCGAATATGAATTAATAAAGTTAGATATTTATAAATGCAATTCTGTCTTATGGTAGAGGTTTTCAAATTAATTTAATTTTGAAAAGATAAGATTCTAAGTCATTAATTCATTTTATTTAGGTAATCAATTCGCAAAGTGAAGAATTAAATAGAAATAATAATAACCAACAAGCTTATGCAAAAATTAATCTTTAATGTATTTTAAAGTTATTATTATTATTAAGATAAAGATAACATCGTTTAAAATAGTTTTATGAATTAAATAAATAATCTCAAGAAACAGAAGCAAAAATATATAAATTGATTGAAACTTTTATTCGCTTCGAAACATACAAATCGGAATTAACAATTGACGTTTTCAAGCTCTCAAAAATAGGCGCTCTTTTTCAAGATTAGCCAGACGTGAATGAGAGGAAACAAAAACGATTTGAAAACAAGCGTAAAACTACAAACGAAAAATGGAAAAAGTAATAAACAAAACTTAAAAGCAACTGTTCGCCGAGAAAAAGCAAAACTAGAGAGCCCACAGTGGCCGAGAGGGACAAATCAGGGTAAAACGCATTTCCACGCGCAATAGAGAGGTAATTCAATGTCTTTATAACGGCTATAGTCAACATCAAGTGTTATTTCCTATTAGTATGTTTTTGAAGGGAATGAAATTTTTATTCAAGGTTTTTAAATTATTTATATGTGAGAAAAAAAAAATTGCTAAACATTTCTCTGTAATTTGATAATTTTGTACAATGTCATTGGAATAATTACAATTTTGTACAATGTCTTGTCATTGAAAAAGACACCAGTACGACTCATTGTTTTCAAAAAATGATTAAAAAAAGCTAAAATTTTAAAATCTGATTTCAGTCAAGTGTTTTTCTTTCTCAGTTTTTTTTAATACACAAAACTAAATGCTTCCTAGGTGACAGGTATCGTAACTATTTTGTCATCCACCCATTTAAAATGATAAAATTATCTTTCACCAATCTATTTTTTTTTATATAATTAACTATCAGAGTGAAGGACAACGGAAATAGTAACTAAAACTCTTGTCAAATATTATTAGATTTTTAAAACTGATTCCATTACTACAATATTCGTTTTTAAAACAAGATATTTCTTCAATACAACTTATTTGTAGTTTTAAACCATGTTTTCTACTGGCCTGTAAAAAAACTCGGGTTAAGTTATATGCACTCATTTAGTTTTATTATAAAAACTTTATTTAGTATACGAATGTTTATAACCTCCCCGATCGAAATCGGTACATTGTCATTATCGTAAATATTTAGTATCCTTTATATCTCTGACCAAAACCCAAACACATTTTATAACAATAAAATAATTTTCATTCAGATATAATTACTATACAGTTTTTTCTTAGGAAGCAATCAATTCCTAGGAAGTAAACAACAACTCAACTCCACCTCTAATTTTCAGACGATTTTGAAACAACGACCATTTGTATTTTTCTCTCTAAATTTTCTATATTTTGATCACTTCGTGACCACTAAACGCATTCCTTTTTGTACCCAAAAACTTTCAATCCGAGCTACTTAACCGACATAAAAAAGCGTTTAAAATAAAAGCCTTTCGAATGTGCCACTGAGTTTGGAATATTAACCCTTCAGCCCACCAAGATTATTTAGGTGCATAAAAAACGAGGCCGTACCTCTCCTAATGAGCTCTAAATACATGTCACGGGCCATAAAAAATGGTTAGAAGATCTCATAAACTTCAAACAGGGAAAACATCGTTTGAAAATAGCAAACTGCTGCAGACGACAAAAATAAAAAATAAAAACTCACTCGTAAAAATTATTTTGTCCATCCTACGTATGGTCGTCTGCGTACATACGATCGAACTCATTATAAGAATTAATGAGTTGAGTGATTTGCTATTTTCTTCTTTCGTGATTCGATATAACTTAACTCGTCTCCGCTTAGATAATTTTTTAAACTATTGCCAAGAAGTGAAATTGAGCGTGTAAATTGCAAACCGCTGATTTATTTGATTTTTCTGGAAACAATGTATGAAATTAATTATATTGCGTAAATGAATAAAATTAATTGAAAACGATAAACAACATGATAATAAACAAAACGATGATAAATAATATGACATTATTGTTTTCCTCGATTATTAGCATCGAAGTAGAAAAAAACTGAGATCAGAGTGTAAAATCAAGTAAACTACAATGCCGCTGATTTATTAGAATCTTATTTTACAGGACCACGTATGAGAACGATTATATTAAGTAAATTAAAAAAAGTTAATTGAAACATGATAAACAACATGTAATAAATAACATGATATTGTGTTGTTTTTGAATTGTTACCATCAAAGTTAAAACATAGGTTAATAGGAGTTAAGACAAAATTGTACAGTAGGTAATTCAAATATTAGACGCTGGCTCTAGACTTTTCTGAGCGCGACTATCTTATACAATATACGTATGTCATAGAATTATTTAAAAAAAGGCTTTAGTTTCGTAGTCTTGCTGGAATGCTAGACTTGGCTACATATTTTGGTAAACAAATCGAGCGCTTTATGCTGACATGCTATTAATGCGAGATAATAAATTTTAATTTTTGTTTCACTGTAGAAGAAAATCTACATAGTCTCCTTAATTTCCAATCATACTTAAAAACTGAAAGTTTAACTTGAGATTACATTTACCTTCAAGAAATGTTGCTGAATTGTTAATCGCAAATCAAACTATATCTTTTTATATAAATTTAAATTATTTTGTTGATATATATGCGTATAAAACATTTTATCTATTCCTCATTGGATGCAATTTATTGAATGACAAGCATTTCGCCATTTTCGTGATAAATAATACAGATGGAAAAATCACGTTTAAAAATAAATGTGAAAAATTAATTTCAAACGATTTTTCGTTGGAGTTCCAATTTAGCTAATAAATTGTTATTATGAAAAAAAATACTTGTTAAATATAGATATGTCGAAATTTTTGAATGCTTAATTTAAAACAGTAGAATTTTTATTTGAATTTTATAATTTAAACTTCTAAATTTAACCTTTTAAAAGGCGAACATTTAAGTTTTCGATTAAGAAGAACGGTCTTAATTTTAAATAACCCTTCAACGCTTTCGTCTTAAGGAAATAAAAATGGTGATGAATTCTAAGTAAAAATTGTAGTTTTTTAATATTTAATTTAATAATTACTTCGAATTATGCAAAATAAATTTTATGAATGATATATTTAAAAAAGCGTTTTTTAACAAAAAGTAATCTCGCTTGACTAGTGACACTTTGAGTATTTTCCTTGTTAGTAGTAATTATATTTATACTTTCCAAGGATTCGATGAAGATTTTTATAGAGTATTAGTTGGAATTTTATAAAAGTTCGAAGCCGGGGTCAACATTTCAAATACCGACTCCATGGCAGCGATTTTTTTAGAACATCTTTTGGGAACTTATTTATTGAATAGTACTTTCTTAAACAAATTAATAACTCAGATTTTTGATAACAGAAAATGCTAAAACAGTGTGAAATTTATTTTTCTTTCAATTTTACGACTACTTTTTGGTGAGAAAGTCATAAAATTTTCAATTAAGGCAATTGAACTCTATTGTACAGCTTCGAACTCCTGGAATACAAATAAAAAAAAATCGAATAAAGATTCCGGATTTTAAATGCTCCATAAAAGAACATTCTTAGTCTTAAGTTTATATTTTATCCACAAATAATTGAGTTATGGTACGACTAACGAGACTGTAAGCGAAAAGAGGTGCTTTAATCTTTTTCAAAGCTCATAACAATCTTTTATAGGTGTAGGCAAACACCTGTTAATGAGTTGTTTTATTACAGTAAGGATTATCAAAATACATTCTTTGATTTATGTATCCCTGCTTTGTAAAAATGAACAGAAGGAATTTTTTTTTCTTTGCTTTTTAAAGGCGATTAAGTGTTTTTATCCTGGAAAAAATTCGAAATTCATGAATTTAAATCCTATTTGGTTGTGCGAAAGAGCTTAGATATTCAGACAATTAAATTAAACGACTCTTTAAAACTGTTACGCTATTTTTTACGTTTGGGGATTTGTTTAATTTATTTGAGTTAAGTGTTTATTTTCCAAGAATACTTTTACTAGAAACCTTTCTTGTTAATTTTAAAAATTCCGCTAATTGTTTTTCATCATTCTTATTTTTCGTTTGATTATTTCGATAATTAAATTAATCAACACTTTCAAATTGTCAAAAAATTCAGTTTTTGCGTTCAAGCATTTATTTTATTGGTTTGAGTTAAATGTTTATTTACTAAAAATACTTTTAATAAAAACCCTTTCATGTTAATTTTCAAAATTATGTGAATTGATTTTTAATTCGATTATTCAGACAAGCAAATTAACTTACTCTTCAAGATATTGAAATAGATATATTAAAATACTTTACTGTGATAAACAGTATGGTCAAAACTACCAGAATATGGTAAAATTTATAGCTATAGGGAAACCGGCATTCTTAGCCCTGATAACCGGCTCAGTAATTTTTACCGAAATGCTTTGGTAAAAATAACAATAAATATCGTTTTATAATGTGTGGTAAAATTTAGTAAATGTCATAAAATTTAGTAGTTTTATCATTATACTCTACAGCAGGGGTTTCCAACTTATATGAGGCCGAGGGCCGCAATTAGAAACACCAGTCAAATGGAGGGCCGCAACTTTATCAAAATTTTACATAGGACTCTTTTATGTTTGAAGGAACA